GTAAGGTAAACCTTAATTTTAAGCAGGTTATATCTTAGTTATTTGTGTCCGTTTATTTTTGATTAATAAAAAGAAAAAAGAGAAAAAAAAAAAAAAAAGAAAAAAAAAGAAAAAAAAGAAAAAGAAAAAAAAAAAAGGCAGTTTGTAATTCGGCTCTTAGGTGTCAGTGTTTCCGGTTTGACCTCCCAGTCTTTTTGGTTGCTCTGGCCTTCTTTCTCTATGGCTCTAGCTGGCTCCAGGACTATGTCTTCTGGCTCCAATCCCTTGTTTCCAGAAGGCAAATTCCCCCTACAATTTCCCCGGCTATGCCCAACTGGGCAGTTCTTCTCTAGTATTCAGAAGCAAGGGGATGAATGGGAACCGGTGCCAAGGTGTCCAGATGTTCCGCCCTTGGCGGGACAGCCGCTATTCTTAACACACTGTCCCTTGTCCCCTGGCGTTTTAAAAAAGCCCCTCTTCTGGGGGGGATTACTTCAAACCCAGCACTAGGTGTCGCTGCAGCCTTCTTTGGGCTCCGCTCCGCCTCCGCGGGCGGTAGTTCGCGCACCCGTCTACAGTGGAGGCAGGGCTGGAGCTCCCCGGCTGCCGTAGCAGAGGCGGGGGCCGGAGCTCCCCGGCTGCCGTAGTGGAGGCGGGGCCGGAGCTCGCCGCCGCGGAACCCAGATCCCTTAGGCTATCCCCGCAAACTCTGACCTTTCCGTGGGTGACTGAAGATCTCCCCGGAATCCACGTGTCTGCGCAGCTCTGGGAGTCTCAGCTGCTCGATGGACCTCCGGGCTGTGCGTTTTCCACGCCTCAGAGAAGCTCTTTCCTTCCTGGCAAGACAATGCAGCCCTTCCTCCACGCCCGCAGCCCACCGCACGCTGCCTCCGCTGCCCCCGCCGCTGCTGCTGCTGCTGCTGCTGCTGCTGCTGCTGCTGCTGCTGCTGCTGCTGCTGCCGCGGCCGTCCTGGCCACTTGGTCAGGAAATCCTGTCCAGCGGACTCTCCCTTACCCTCCTTGAGAGCTCCGCTGTCCCTTAGCTGCCAATCAACTCTCCCTGAGCGACTCAGAAGCCCCCTTTATCCGTTCTGGGACCAGAGTCAGAATAGGTCCGACTGTTCGGTCGCCATCTTCAAGCCGAAATTTCAGTAACTTGCGTTTTTAAGAGAGTTTTCAATTACAGTTAACATTCAATATTATATTAGTTTCAGGTGTATAGCATAGTGATTAGACACTTATATAACTTACAAAGTGATCTACTTATAAAGGGGGCTATTTTATATAAACTCACCATGTCCTGTGGGAAAGGAATGGCACCAAACATAGGTATTGACAATATTTTCTATGCTGTATTTTACATCCCCATGGCTGTTTTGTAACTACCAATTTGTACTTAATCTCTTCATTTCTTCACCTGCACCCCCAACCCTCCTCCTCTCTGGCAAACATCAGTTTGTAAGTTAACTATTGATAATGTCAAAATTATAACTACATATCAGGTGTTATTGAGATGACTAAACTGATTTTATGATCACCATTTACTCCCTTTTTTCAATTGGTGTTTAGCTCTCTATTAAGCAGTACGTGATTTATTGCTCTTTTACATTTATTTTTTCCTATATTTCCTATAATTTTTAAAACATAAATGGAGTTATAAAATATATGCTATTCTACAGTTTATTTTTTACTCAGCAGTATGTCTTAAGGGATCTTTTCATATCAGTACATAAAGTTCCACACCGATTTTTTACCATCTGCAGAAGATTCTATTTATGAATCTATAATGTTGGGTTTTGTCAAATGTTTTTTCTGTGTCTCTTGAGATGGTCATGTGGTTTTGTCCTTTATTTTGTTAATATGGTATATTACATACATTTTTGTTTATTAAATCAGCCTTGCACTCCTGGGTAAATCCTTCATGGCTGAACCTTTTTCTTCACTTGGCTTTGAGGACGTCACTTCCTCTTCCTTGGATTCTCCCTCTGCCTCAGCTAGACACCCCTTCTCTTACCCATCCCTCTGCTAGTTCCTCTTCTAAGATTGGAACAGCCCAGGGCTCGGTCACAGGCCCTCTTCCTTTCTCTGTCTACATTCATTTTCTTGGTGATCTAACTCTGTTTCATTTATATATATTATCTATAAATGTTGATGGCCACCGGTGTTATTATCTCCAGTTCATACCTCGCTCCCGAACTCCATATTCTTGTCCAGCTACCTACTTAATAGCTTTATTTACGTGTCTAATAGGCATCTCAAATTTAAGTCCCAAACCAAACTCCTAACTTCCATCCCGTTCCTATTTGTCTCAGTCTTTCCTTTTTCACCAAAGCAACTTCTTTCTTTCATTTGCTTAAGAAAAAAAGAAATGGAGTCACCCTTGATTTTCCTTTCTCACAACCTTAAATGTATATCCAGTCTTGTCTTCAAAATATTTCTAGACTCTAACCACTTCTCACCATTTTCACAGCTAGCATCCTGGTATAAGCCGCTACCTCTGGATTATTGCAATAGCTTCCTAATTGAGCTGCCTGCTCCATTTTACTCACCCCAAAGCCAAGTCCTTACACAACATCAAAAGTGATTCTTTTAAAACTTCATTTTATTATCTCATTCCTATGTTCAGAACCTTCCAAAAGCTCCCTATCTCATTCAAGCTAAAATCAAAATACTTTACTGACCTTATAAGGCCTTACTTGAGCAGATCTCATATTCACTGCCCTTTCATTATACTGTAGCCATGCAGCCTCTTGCTTTCCCTCAAATATGCTACCCATGTTCCCAGCTCAAGACCTTTACATGTGTTTCTCTTGCTTAGAACTTTCTTCCAAAAGATGGTCCACATAATTTCACTTCATCACTTTGAGTCTTTGCTCAAATGTCACCTTTTAGGCGAAACCTTTCTAACCTCTCTGTGTAAAATAGCAACCTCACTCCTACCCCTCACACTCCCCCATCTGCCCTACTCTCTCTTTTTTATTCCTCTATGGCTCTTTTTACCATCTGATATTATATTTTGCTTGCTTATTATTTGGGCCCCCCATTAGAATCCAAGTTCCATGAGGCATATTTTATTTCTGAATCTACAGAATAGCAGTAATTGTCAAATAATAAACCATCAATTATATTTGAATAAGTGTATGTACAGAAGGATGAAGAAGGGATTTGTTCTAAGTCACATAGCTAGTTGTTGCTAATAGAAAGTACCAGTGTATAGATAACCTGTCCCAAGTTCTCTTTTTTTTTCTTTTTAATATATTTTTATTGATTTTAAAGAGGAAGGGAAAGAGAGATAGAAACATCAATGATGAGAATGATTGATTGGCTGTCTAAGGATCAAGCCCACAACCTGGGCATGTGCCCTTAGCCGGAATCGAACCCGGGACCCTTCAGTCCGCAGGCCAACACTTTATCCACTGAGCCAAACCAGCTAGGGCTGTCCCAAATTTTTTTTTCTTTTTCTTTTTCTTTTTCTTTCTTTTCTTTCTTTCTTTTTTTTTTTTTTTTTTTTAATCTTCCCCCAGCCTCCCCTACCCCTGTCACATGCCCAAATTCTTTGTAGTATTCTATCACCACAACCCCATTGCCTCTTCTTTTAAGCTGACTTTAAGCTGGATCTTCCTTCCACATGTTTTCTAGAGTTTGACCTTTCTAAGGGGCTATTTTATATAAATTTACTCATATTCTAACTTTTCCCTCTCCTTTTCCCCTTCTTTTAGGTTTCCATTAGTAAATTAATATGGTGGGTTTTTTTTTTGTTTTGTTTTGTTTTTTAATGGATTTCAGAGAGGAAAGGAGAGATAGAAACATCAATGAAAGAGAATCATTGATTGGCTGCCTCCTGCACGCCCTCTACTGGGAATCAAGCTTGCAACCTGGCTATGTGCCCTTGACCAGAATCAAACCTAGGACCCTTCAGGCCACCAGCCGAAGCTCTGTCCACTGAGCCAAAACATCCAGAGCTAATAAGGTGTTTATTATGCACTGGATCAGATGCCTAGCACTGCCATGTCCTGTGAGAAAGGGAAGGGAGCAGGCTGCAGACAGAGCATTCCTGAGGAAATGAGTGTTTGGTTAGCCCCTTCTCCATAGTCATCATGCTCTTGCAGTTCTAGTTATTTGTGATCTTCTTTTGGTCTTCTGCCTTAGGCATTCTTTTTTATCTCTGCCTTGGAAACAAGTCCATAATTTACCCTCATTTTGGCTTTGCAGTAATCCAGCTGCACCAGGACCTAAATAAGGAAAAAAATATTCCGGAGACATTGATGAAGTCAGTCCTACACAGAAACTGGCAGAAGGATGAGGGACAAGAGAAAAACATGGCAAAGGGTGTGGATGAACATGAGGATTAAATAGCAATGGCGAATGTTGCCAACAGAGAATTACATGTGACAGAAAAATCTAAAGAACGTGACAGGGGCCCTGTCCAGTGTTGCTCAGTTGGTTGGGCGTTGCCCCACATACCGAGGTCGCTGGTTTGATTCCTCATCAAGGCACCTGCCTAGGCTGTGGACTCAATCCCTAGTAGGGCGTGAGTAGGAGGCAGCCAATTCATGTTTCTCGCTCTCCTTAAAAATCAATAAGCCCAGCGTGACTCAATGGTTGAGCATCAACCTGTGAATCAGGAAATCACAGTTTGATTCCCAGTCAGAGCACATGCCCAGGTTGTGTGCTCAATCCCTAGTGTGGGGCGAGCAGGAGGCAGTCAATGTGATTGCTGACCATCTCATCTTTGACCTTTCAATATCTCTCTCCCTCTCCTTTCCTCTCTGAAATCAATAAAAAATATATTTTTAAAATAATAAAATAAAATTTAATAAAAACATGTTTTCTTAAAAAAGATTGTGACAGTACATATGCAAAGTGGATACATGTGAGACCTATGAGGTAGGTGTCAAACTCAAACAATCAAATGAGAACCATTAAGGCAGTAATGTTAATTAGTATATTTGTTTATGGTGCAGACGGTTATACTAGTAATTATCAGATTTTAACATCCAAATATTTTCTTTAACTTCTAGGCTTTTGCAGAGATGCTGAGAGTGAACAAAAATTTGAAGAGCTTAAATATGGAGTCCAACTTTATCACAGGAGCTGGGGTTCTAGCACTGATTGATGCCTTAAGAGATAATGAGACCTTGGCCGAGCTCAAGATTGACAATCAGGTCAGTGTTCTGCTGCAGGGACTCTGGGGGAGCTGCGCCCATGCTGTGCGCAGGGCGTGGGGACTCCGGAGGCGGTGGAGGGGGGCTTCCAGGGAGCTGTTGGGAAGGTGGCATGAGAGAGGAGGAGAGGACATTGGAGGCATCTGGAATATTAATATCAATTGATATTTTTAGTATGGGTCTTTAGCATATTCATAGAGTTATGCAACCATCACCACTGTCTAATTCCGTAACATTTTTATCATCGCAAAAAGAGATTTGCCCCGGCCGGTGTGCTCAGTGGTAGAGCGTCAGCCTGAGCTCTGCTCAAGGGCATGTAGCTGGGTTACAGGTCCATCCCAGACCCCAGGCCCTGAGGGCGGCAACCAATCTGTGTGTCTCTCTCACATCAGTGTTTCTCTCTTTCTGTATCCCTCTCACTCTGCATCTCCCTCTTTCTCCTTCTTTTCTTCTCCCCGCCCTCCCTCACCCCCCCCCCCCTTTCCTTCCACTCTCTCTAAAAATCAATGGAAAAAATCCTTGGGCAAGGATCAATGACAAAAGAAACTCCATACCCACCAGCAGTCACTCCCTATTCATCCCTCCCACCAGCTCCTGGCGACCGATACTCTATTTCCTGTGTCTGCATTTGTCTATTTGAGACAGTTCATATAAATGGAATTGTGTGCTACGTGGTCTTTTGTGTCTGCGCCTTTCCCTGAGCAAAATGTTCTGGAGGCTCATCCAGGTTGTAGCACATGAGTACTTATTCCTTTTTCTGGCTGAAGAACATTGTTACCTTTGGGTTGTTTCTACTTTTTGAATATTAGGAATAAAGCTGATGTGAACATATACAGGTTCTTGTATGAACATGTGTTTTCCACAGCAACTGCATCATTGTACATTCTGACCAGCATGCCTGAGGGTCCCGTTTTTTTTTACATTCTTGCCAACCCTTATTATTTTCTGTCATTTTTATTATAGTCATCCTGTGGGTATGAAGAGTATCTCAGAATGGAAATCCACAATTTGTTGATGTCTGTATGATCTATACTAAACTTTAAATTTTTGTTTCTCTTGTATGCTATAAGAATTGGGGAACTTCTAAAATACTACCAGACTCAGCATGTGCCTCAATCAATGTCTTAGTCTTGACTTACCTAGAAAAGTATTTTGATATAGTTTATTGACACTATTCTTTATTTCTGAATATTCCAGAGGCAACAGCTGGGGACAGCTGTAGAATTGGAAATGGCGAAGATGCTTGAGGAAAATACAAATATCCTTAAGTTTGGATATCGGTTTACACAGCAGGGACCCCGAACCAGGGCAGCTAATGCTATAACGAAAAATAATGACTTAGGTAAGACATACAATTGCACATCAAATTTCTGAATCATGCCATTAAGCTAATGTATTAGAGAAGCTTTTTTTTGAAACCTCTCACTTCTCAGCAGGTAAATGATAAGGAAAAGGATGTGAATTTTTTATTTTAATGACCATGTGAATTGGATACGGACATTTCATGTTTGTACAACTATGGTTGGATTTACAGAAACATGTTTGTAAAAAGCTAGCTGTTTGTACAAATGAACAGGAATCTCTAACTTTACTTTTCTCACAGTTCGCAAGAAGCGAGTGGAAGGAGACCACCAGTAAGCCCGCCAAGACATAACCTTCGGGAGACTTCGGAAGGTCATCGGGACTCATGTTGGTTATATCAGATATAAAATTTTCCTGGGTTGAAGGGAAAAGACTGGAAATTCTTCTTTTTGCTTTTTTTTTTTTTTTTTTTTTTTAACTACATGTATATTTTTCTAGTTTAAGTTACAAGTTTCAAACTGTAAAATCAATAGTGGGTAATATTTTATATTTTAAAGCATTATTTCTACTTAAATCAATTTTAATTTAGCTTAATTGAGTGGTTTATGCTGGGTCTTGGTTAAAAAAAATACAATTATAAGAAAGTGTAGGAAGTCACATGTGGAATAATATGAACATTTAAGGACCAAAATCTCTTTGTTAAAAAAAGGGACATTGCTGATATCAGACTTGCTGTGTACCTCATAGGTACAAGCTCTTCAAAGATTCCTGATTCCAGGACGGGAGAGACTTCCATCAGAACACACGCGCTTGGAAAGATTGTGCTTTTGCTTCTATCGAGAAAGCACAATGCCAGAGTTTTATACCAGGTGACTCGAAATCCAGTCATCTGTTTAGAAGTAAAAAGCAGGCCTGTAGGCGAGAGAAAATGCGTTCCAGGTTGCTGCACTTGTCTGTCTGATGTGTTTAGCAACACCGTTAAGAGTATAGTGATGTCTACACTGATTACAGTGTTTCCTTTCCATACTGTGGACTGCATTAGATTTTTGTGAAAGCCCGTAGTAAAAAGCATCTGAGTAGAAAAGTGATTCTCTTCCTGGAAAAGGCAGATAGCCAACTCTTGGTTACATAGGGTAAGAGAAAAAGAACGCTGGTGTTTACAGTAAATGTGATGGAGGTGAAGTCTGAGGAGCATGCAAAACGGTCCATTAAATGATGGTTCCTATAGAGCAAATTAGACATGGCATGCATATAAATCAGTGTTCCTGTATGCAGTGCAGATTCCATAAACGTATTTAATCATCACTCACTACACACTTTCCAAACAGGAAACCTGCTCTTCTTCATAAACCCAGTTTTTATTGTTTCCTGTAATCATGTACTTTTTTGTCCAAATTGTGTAAGAAGTAATTTCTCATAACAAAGTTGTCTTCCTGTTACTCCAAGAGTCACAGTGAACAGTGAACAGTGTGCTGTGGTGGCCCTGACCCCAGGCCGCAGTGCCATGGAGGACGTGGGCCTGTGTCCTTGCCCTGTTTCAGGGCAGCCCCTGGCCCGGAGCTGCCGAAAGCAGGGGCAGAGGAATCTGAGTAACCCTGGTCTCAGAAATTCAGGCCCGGCAGCACCATTTACAGGGACATTTTTCCAAGGGAGAACCTCATTTCAGAGGAGCAGACAGGTCTGTTGTCAATTTTTTTTTTAAGTTTTTTTTTTTTCCTGCTCCTTCAGCTTACAGTGGACAGTTTACCAATGACTGGGCAGCTTCCTGTGTACTGTGGTATAACCTTCTTAACAGGGTGTGTTTGTTGCTTTGTATTAGTATCTAATTTTTAAAGGGGCCTAAGATTGATTTTGCACTATTTCCTTTCAGTTATAGGCTGCTGATTTTTTTTTAAATTAGGAAGTCTCTTTCTCTCTCCCTCTCTCTCTCTCTCTCTCTCTCTCTCTCTCTCTCTCTCTCTCTCTCTCTCTCTCATCTTCCACATACTTGATTTTAGAGACTGCACTGTCCCAGCAGGGTGGGGCCACGTGGAGCAGAGGCAAGGCTGCCTTGCTAGTGCTGTCCTGAGTCAGTACATTGATTAGGATGTTACTCCCTCCTCCATGGGTTTGTTTGTTTTTTTTAACATAGACAAGCCCTTACCTAAAATTGTATTTCATACTTATGAATAATATTTTTAGTATGAAGGAGTTGAGTGTTTTGCTTGTACCATTCCAGTTCTGAGCTACAGTAGTTCATTATATAATTTCTTAATAAATAACTTTAAAGATAAACATTCATCCAATGGAATATAGAAAAATCTTTGGAGAATTGTAACTACAGGGGAGAAAACTGATGTACTGTGATCATTAAAAATATGGCACCTCTTAGCCTTTTATTAATTTTTGGAATGTCTACATTGCTCTAAAATTTTATAATAGATCAGGGTTGTGAAGTACTCTTGATTTTTAAACCAAAGATGTATAAGACTTAAATTTTATAGTCTAACAAATTTAAACTTATCTGGTAATCTAATCAAAAAACATTTGCATTTTGAAATTGCTGAGGTTTTTTTTAAAGCTTTAACTTCCCATTTTATAAAATCTTATATTTATATTTGTCCAAATTTTTTTAGTATGTCTACATGAACTTGTATTTTTAAAATATTAATAACTAATGTTGATATTAAAATGCATTTTGGTGCTATATACTTATAAGTCTAAAGTATAGAAGAAATACAATTTCTAAGAGTGCCTGCCATTTAAAAGACCAAATAAATATTTTGTGTTTTAAACACCTACCAATTGTTAGAGATTTCAATGAGAATTACCTTGATCATTAAATGGCAAATTCTTATTATTTGAATGAAACAACCCACATACTTTATACAGTAGGTGCACTCTGGAAAAGTTACATGTAAATAGAACTTTGTAAATTGTTTTTCCATTGACAATATCTGATGCGTTTTCATTTAAAATGGGAACTCCATGGTATTAAAAAGTTATAAAAGAAAAATGTTTGGTAAATGTTAGTCACGGTCTATTATATATTATATTTAACCCTTGCTGCCATTGAAATACGAAGAAAAGATGCAGGAGGTTCCATAAAATCTTGTGTTTGGGCTCTGTGTTCCCAGGGCCGCCTCACTTCCTCCTCATAAAGTCAGGACCACCGTTGCCTCCGCGCAGGCCTGAGGAGCGTGCTTTCTCTGGGTCCAAGCAACCTCCAGTCCCTGCAAGCTCAGAGCCATCCCACTGGACTCCTTCTTGCAGTGCCACAATGTTTCCAGTTTCCTTAAGATATCATTGGCATTTAACATTGTGTTTCATATAACATTGAAAGTCATACAACATAATAATTTAATCTATGGATATAAGGCATGATCACCACAGTAAATTTAGTGAACATCCATCACTTCACATAGTTAAAACAAATTTTTTCCTTGTGATGACAATTTTTTAAGATCTACTCTCTTAGCGACTTTCAAATCTATAATACAGCATTGTTAACCAGTCACCATGCTGCACATTCCGTCCCAGGACGTAGTCATCTCAGACCTGGGGTTTGTACCTTTTGACCACCTTCGCCCAGTCCTTCATCCCCAGCCGTGCCTCTCACAGCTACCAATCTGTTCTCTGTTTCAATGAGTTTTTTTTCTCTTTTCACATAAGCGAGATCACAGTATTTGTCTTCCTCTGTCTGGCTTATTTGACTTAGCACCATGTCCTCGAGGCCACTTCACTTCCACATAGTGTTAACCGGAGACATGGCATCCAGGAGAGCTAAACACAAGGATGTGCCCTCAGACTCAGGCCCAATTTGTCTGCTTAAGAAGGATTTTTTTTAAATGGCACATATACATATGCTCACACACACACACACACACACACACACACTGCATAAAAATCTTTGTAATTTCAAGTAAATGCCCATTATATATATATATATTTTTTTTTGTCTTTTGGATGAATTATATTTGGGTTTAATTATGTTTAAAAGCTTGAAAATTATCTTGTTACAATGCATCATTCTTTGTCACAGCAAATAGGTATTTAAATACATTTTTTAATGCTAAAATATCCAAAATGCTGTAGATGTTTTATTTTTTTCAACTTTTTAAATGTAAGCGTGTTAATTTTTATAATATTGATGTCTAAATATGAAATATTATTAACCTGGTTCATAATAGCACAGAGAAATTTCTTTTGAGGAACATGTACTATAGGCATTTAGAACTTACCACTTCTTTCTGGAATAAATAATTCAATAAAGTTTATCAAATATCCTATAGACTGTGACTTTTTAAAAATCCCTTTAATTTGAATGTTCTAAAGTTCATTCTTTACACACTTCAATGCCTGAACATTCTTACCCACAAAAATAGAATTTCATATGGTTCAATCTAATGCCACCCATAAAACTGAACTGAGTTGACAAATGTGAAGAAACGGGGTCTTATGACCTGATTGGGTGTCATAGAGCAGATGATTTTTACGTTACTGCAAAGGTACCTCTTATCAGCCACCCATGTCCACCAACCAAAATGGAAAATCAGTGAAACGTGTAATGGGTTTGAGGAAACTTTTAGGGGATAAATGTCAATGTAATTTAAAATTTTCACAGTTCTGAAACTTAGAATAAAAACATTCCCCTTGACTCTTTAATGTCGCTGGCCTCTGAGGATGGCTGTGGGGTACGCTCACTTACCGGAAGCTTCGATGCCTGTCCCGTTTGGTAAGTGGGAGGCTCCGGCGCTTAAGTCATCAGGTAACTTTAGCTCAGGTGGTGCCCAGCATTGTGGCCAGGGGGATAGAGTGCCTTTGTGCTCAGCCAAGCAGCACCCTGCTGCTTTAGGTACCAAATGAGTGGCCGACCACATGTGGGCCCCAGATCTCCAAACATCTTTTATCCAGATGTTACACTGTCCTGCACACCCGCGAAGGCTGAGGGCCTGGAGACCTGGCATAAATCCCCACCCCCGTCTGTTTGCAGGGACAGCAGAGCCTCTGGGGCCACACCCTCCTGTAAAGAACAGCTGGCCTGAGTGACCTCAGTCAGTGGAGAGAGAAGGCTCCATTGTTTCCTTCCTTAGATTTACAAGATGGACAATTAAAACTCAACAAAGAATCCCCTGCTCAACATGAACATGCCTGAAAGATGCACACATTGGGACATGCGAGGCCAGGCATAATGGAGTGAGCAAGGGAGGTAGGACAGGAGGACATGGATAGTGGCTGCAGATACAGCAAAGTGTCCATCTAAAAGCATAAAAGAGGGAAATAGATGAATCCAGCTTTTCCACATAATGAGATAATGGGTCCTTTTTCTTGGACCTTTTCTATTTAGCAATAAAACA